TTTAGGATTGAATAGAATGCAATTGCTAAATGTAGTGAGAGAATGTTGAATTTACAGTATTAATAGTAAACGAATAACGTGCGTGCAAATACTTAGTCGCGTTGCATCATATTCAAAAGTAAAGGAACAATGAGTCGTCCATGATATGTTACTAGTAGTGGCGGTTTGAGCTTCTGTGATTTCCACGTGTTGTAGAAAAAAATCTATTTGCCGCGCCGGAGACATGTGTTCTGTATAGGCATTTTGTAGCGAATTAAAATTGTGATTTTGCAATTTTATCTAGTTTAATCACAAATCTTGTTGCTGTATAAAAGTGTCTGGCGTGCGTCTCGTTTTCTTAGTGTCTCTCCGAGTTGTAATGTATGTGTCGTATGAGAATCTTCAATGCCGTTTGAAGATGTTACTATTTTATGGATTTTTTTACTCATTGGGGCTACTAGCCACCGAAACATCGGCGTAACCATGTATAGTAGACTATTGGCTTTTTTTCCGGCCCCTGTATCATCACGTCGCGGTCACCAAATGTTGTGGTCTAGCTGTTTCAGACGTCGAAGTTACCATTATTGTAGTGGCTTGGTAATAAGAATGGACAATTGTAGATGTCTGTTTACGGCATGCGTGAATAACATGACCACACAATTTATAAACGTCTAAAATACCAGAAATCATGAAATACAAGAAGGAACAAAATGGTTTTAAAAACATAACATTGTATTTATTTATGCATGTATGTATGTGTGTGTGTGTGTGCGCGCGATATAGCTCGGCACAGTATTTTCACAGATACTACACGTGGGATAAGTCCGCGTTTTAACGTGGTATTTTAATTTATAACTACTCACTGATAAATTATAAAATAAAAGTACAATTGTATTTATTTTTAAAAAAAAAAAATAGAACTGGTGATATGTAAAAAAAAAAAAAAAAAAAAAAAAAAGTTTTTCTAAATCGGGAAAACTTTAAAAGTTTTATTAGTTTGCTTATTAAGTAGTTAAGTAAATTAAGAATTAAAAGTCCGATAACATTTAATTTCATTTTTAAAAACTGAAATAAATGTTATCATACTTTTAGTCTATTTTGCTTAATAAAACTTCAACTATCTGAACAAAAAAAAATAAAATAAAATAAAAAACATTGCATTGTTTTATTACCGTGAAAACTTGTAATGTAAATTGAAAAAATAAATTAAATAAAAAAAAAAATGTTAAATTTCCGTTCGATATTTCTGGAAAAAATTTGAATGCATGTGATATACTCAAAGCATTGGAATTATTTCACTTTACGTATCTATTTTATAATTTACGAAAAATAACGATATTTTTTGCTAGCAGCGCGTTTTTTTTTGTTTTTGTTTTTGTTTTTGCCGGCTTTGAGCCAGCCATATAAATTGGCTTCATTTGAACCCTATTTTCTCCCTGATCGCTTCTTTTTTTTTTTTTTTTTTTTTTTTTTTTTAATTATTGAAATTATGCTATTGTTTTTTGTTTACGTTTTTTTTTTTTTTTTTTTTTTCTGAAAACTCACCGTGGACCAAAAGTTCCGGGTCCCCCGCCCTCCTCACTCGCTACGTCACTGTGTGACAATCCCTGTTTCTCAGCAGCGTTAATTGTACGGTACTATAGCAGTAAGAGTGATAAGTGCAGGGACCCTTCATGAACAATACTAGGGCTTCAACTCCTTCAGCTACTGACTTGTAATCTTGTCGGTCAGTGACAGTAGCGTTTCATTTAAAAAATTTGTTTGTATTCTCCAACATGGCCAAACAAAATTTACCGTGTGCCAAACTAATTCTAACTACTGTTATGTCTGAGAATTTTTTACGCCAGTTTCCACAGTTCTGAGAACTGTCAAACAGAACTCAAATCTCTCAGGTGCTGTAGCTATTGATTCTTCCACATTCAACACCACTTCAGCTTCATTAGACAAATAATTTTAAATAGCTATTTTCACTGAATATTACTTACTTAGTACTGCATAAAATTGTAATAAATACAAAATAATCAATAGTTTTTTTTTTTTATGAGACAAGTAATGGGGGGGATAATGATATTTAGAACAGATTTTAGCGAGTATTATTTACTTAAATTAACCCTCTGAAATATGGATAACAAAAGTTATCAGCTGAAGTGTTGAGTCGATATTCAAAAATTACTTCCCACATTGCATACCATAGTTTCGATTCAACCAGGAGAGGATAACTCTACACATTTTACTCGATAAAATATCGGTGTTTTCTTAATCAGTCTGCCGTGACAGTAAAAACGTTATTTTTAGTTGATACTCGTATTTGAGTAGACTGTCAGTTTTATTTGAAAATATATTTATTTCGTATACTCGAAAAAACTTAAAATGCGCTCTCCAAATACTTTGTACAGAAAGGCAACTCTGCAAAAAATCTTTTATTTTATACAATCGATTTAAGAAGCACTACAGTTCATGAATATTGATTTTTTTTTATTTTGTAAATTTTATGGAATGGGGGCCAGTAAAGTGTAAACTGATCCCACCTTCCCCACTGACGCAAGCAAGCAAAAATATTCATACCACATTATCAGATAAATTATATTTTTCCTGACAGAATTCCAAGTTAACATTAAAAAAATAAAGAGTTAATATTTATTATAAAACATTGTTACTTACCTTTCTCCTGCGTTATGTTAAAAAAATACTTGCATATAAAATTTCATATAATTTCAAACCAAGTGTATGAATTTTTTAAAGCATAATCTTACTCCTCCCTTTTTATGTTAAAACTACTAGTTAACTTTCTTTTCTTTTTTGAACTTTTTTTTTTATCATTCATGATCTGGAGTACTTAACGAAAAAAGTACTTATGAGAAATTTTAAAAAAATTATTTGAGAGATGCATCTATACAAACACACCTATTTATTAATAAAAAATGTTAATATAACTAGGTCATTATAAATGTGACCTGATTATATTTATTTTTAACATTTTAAACATGTATTGTAAATGTGGTACAAGCCGAAAGGGTAAGTGGTGGGGAAAGGCTGGTCAACACTGACTATCCTATACCTAGCTAAAATCCGACTCGTGACCCATTATTCTTAACAATTTCCTAGTCACCACAAGAACTCATCCTTGTCTATTCGATCCAACATCTATTCTATCACATATTCGCCAGGGTCCTGAAACAGTAAAACACCGATGATAAAAGCATTTAAAATTATATACAATTAGTTTTTACTTTTTATCATTAATTTTCTAGTCATATTCACTTCTGGCCGCCTTTTTACGTATTGCAATCATAATGCCAGAACCTGTCTGTCTTCCTCTGCAATTCTCTCAGAGTTCAACTGAATATATAATTTAATTATATATTCTTAATTGTCCAATTCTGTAATTTGTGTTGAAAACAATCATTTTATTAATTGAAAGATCATTTTTAACATTACTAAGTGCTACTCTCCCGAGGCATATCGTAAATGACGAGGCACTCATTGCTTGAAAATGCCCAGGAAAAAAAAAACGATGACCTGTAAATTTTTAAATAACATCAAATTCAAATCAGTTTTACACTTTACAGGCATTAAAATCACTATTTGATTTTTTTTTGATTTTTTTTGTATAAAAAAATTGTTATTCCAATAATTGCCAATTGTGCAAATTATTGATCACATTTATTTTTATTGTCGCAACAGTATTTCGGCCGATTCCTCCTGCTGCCTTCTTCGCAAGTGTCTTTTTTCTCAGTAGTGCAACAAAGCAAACCATGTAAAAACAAAATAAAAACGAGACCTAATCTATTAGATTTTTGTTGAAATGGAAGATTAAATAAAATAAACTTTCCACGATGTTGTCAGAATCAATATTTCATAATTATAAGTTTTATTTATTATTGTTACTTTTTATCACAATTCTTGGCTGTTAAAGCAGCATAAGATCAGAATGGAAATATTTCATTTCATAATCCAAAGATGAGATGTAAATAAACAGTATGGTTGTAGGTCTGTGTATCGTTTTTAAAAACTCTAGGCTACCAGATTGCTTAGTAATCGGTGCTACTACCGTCCATTTTTTTTATTATTACTATTATGATTGATATCTAATATTCATTTTCTACTATATAGTATTTACCAACTGTTGGAAGTAAGGAAAGGCAGTGAAGTGAAAACAGTCGGAATACCCATTTTTACTGAACTAAAAGTAATTAAATAAAATATATATTTTTTAATAATCAAAACAATGTTGGTTTGGTTGATTCTTGAAGCTTTTTGTTTGTTTTTTTTACACAAAATTTAAAGAGTTTGGTGTTTCAGGCGCATTGTAAAAAGAATAAGAATAACTTTCCATCAGTTTAAAACTTTAAAAGTAACTCTTCTTTACTTTTTTTTTACTGAGTGGACTGTATTTTTGAGTATTGATTGAAAGATGCACACAAAAAAATAAGTGACCCACATCGTGAATTCGATTTAATAACTGATTTTGTTTCTTTTTCTTTTTTTTTTAATTATTTATTTTATTTTTTTTTAACTTTCATGGAGTGATGGTAAAAATAGAATCTTTTATGCTTTAATTAAATCTCTTAATTTTTTTTTTTAATTTAGTTTGTTTTTTCGTTTTCTTTCTTTCTTTTTTTTTAAGGTGTATTGAATAAATTGTATGTAATTTTGTAAATGTATGAACCACAGAAAGCCATGTGACTGATGAGAAGGAAAGAGAAGAGCATTCTGTGAGAGACTTACTACCTAACTATTAAATGCCTGCTACTACTACGACTACACGCTGTCATCGGCAGATATTTTTATTTTGTGAAGCTGAATAAAAGTGTACATTAAGACTACGACTTCTCATAACTGAACAGCCAGTTAATCATGCTCGATATACCACTTAAATTACATTTATAAAAAAAAAAAAAAAGACAACCACGCAGTCAATAAAAAATCATCTGGGATGGTCTAGAAAAAAATTGTGATCGTCATCGAGGTAAGAGTGACTTGTTGTTTCCGTATCTAGTAAAGAAATAATATCAACGACCATGTCTACAGATTGTGAAGAATCACCTCGAATTCTGTCCATACAAAGTACAGTTGTTTCTGGGTATGTTGGCAACAAAGTAGCGGTCTTTCCTCTTCAGGTAAGTTTTTTTTTTTTTTAGTTACACTATACATCCAAACTTACCTCCCGTCATTTGAAAATAAACATTTATTTATTTATATATGCAAAGTCCTTTTGAAATTATTCTTAAAAAAAAAAATCATCATTCGGAAGATATACCCTGCCTAAATTTGTTAGGTCCTGAACTAAGTTATAAAAACGAATATAAACATGAATAACTTGTCTAAAGAGAGACAACTATTGTTTTGCTTACTTAAATTTTAAACGAAGTTTCACCTTTTTAATCTAAAATTCTTCATTCACTTAAAAACATGTCATTGTTTTTTTTTGTTTTTTTTTCATCTTAAATGAAAAAGGAGGATTTATCAATAGTTAATGTCATAAACAAACTCTTGCGTCAATTCCTCTGGTGAAATCGTAAATAAATAAAAACTTTCCAGTTAAATCCATAGATTTTCATTTTTTTTTTTATATTTTAAAATTATTGATAGTACCAAATTATAAATTTTAGGAAACACGTGTAAAATAGATTAATTTGCAGATTAGGACCCAGAAACCAATTTAAAATTGAAGCATCGTTTCTGGTGTTAAAAATAAAACAGCATGATTTTCGTGTTTGAGCCTAAAATTTAGTAACTTTTTAAACTTTTTGAATAATTCAATTAAAATTTGCATCTGTTTACTAATCAAGTAGATTTCTTAGTTTACAATAACTATAATTTTTAATGTGGGAAATATTCAGTTACGTTTTTTTCTTTTCTTTTTTTACCTTTTACAAACTTTTGTACTGCAGTGTAAAAAGTCGATCGTTCGGCAACATTAATGAAAATAACATCATTTGACTTTGTCCTTAGAAATAAATGTCCTTCAGAGTTTGCTTAACGATCAAATTTGTTTTTTATTGAAACCGTCAAAAACGAAAGACTTATCTTCAACTTCAAAAGATGAAGTACCACTATGCACACCCACGTGTATGTATCCGACTACTTACAACTTCATACAATTTGAATTATTCAACCGACCTTGCAAAAGAGACAAATGCCTTTTTTATCCTTAATTAAAAATTAATTGGAATAAACTTAAGTCTCAAACTATTAATTTACTTTTTATTTTGTGGTTATTTATCTAAAATCATTTTTATTTTATTTCTGTTTCGAAAACTTACACAACAAATAAAAATAAAACTTTTATTTTATTATCTTTATGTTGATTAACGGTGGCTAGAGAAAATGTTCCACTACTTAAAAACTATATAATTTTAGTAGTTACCAGTTGTGGTTTCTTACGATGTATTTGTTGATTTCCTTTTCTAAAAGCGAAAGAACACATATTTTTCTTTTGCTACTTAGCTTGATCACAAGTGATTGAGAATATTTGCAGATCGTCTTGCTAGAAATTTTAAATTTCATTGTCACCACCTAATGAAAAAGATTCAACCTCTGAGTTATAAAACGTGCTTTTTTGTACCTTTGCCCGGCCTTCCCTTGTTATAATTAAAAAAACGAATTTCATTACAAAATGTTTCTTGGTCTGAAGCACATAAGTTTTCTAATCAATGATTTGTCCACCAGGCAGCAGCAAAAGTACATTTTTTTTTTGCATGATAAAGTGTTCAGACATTCCCAGATGTCTGCGGCGGCTTGACTAAAGTTTGTTTTTTTTTGTTTTTTTTCTCTAAGAAAGACTTTTTACCATACTGAATCTGACTTCTAAGTTGGGAAATGAACTTCACTACTCTTAAAAAAAAAAAAAAAAACGAAAACGTAGGTAGATCCTATGTAAGCCCTTTACCAAAGTGATGACTACCTGGAGGAATAGTTAGTTAATAAACCAATTTGTTAGTTATTTTGTGAGTTGGATCCCAATTAAATGCCCCACTGCTGTGGCCTTAGTAAGTAAATACTCTTTCTTTACAAGACTAAAAAAAACTCAATTGATGGATGTTGTACAGTTTTCTTTAACAACTTTCAACCAAATACTCCCCACCAGTTTGCTATTGTTTATGGCCTTTTCCTTTCATTAATGACTTCTAATTCCTAGAACAGTTTTGTGATTTATTAGATTATTACATAAATTCATTTTTTTTTATTTTTTTTTAAATATTTATTTATTAAGTTTTGATGAATCATTCAATCCTCATTGTTTACAGCCTCCTGCCAACAATTCACTAAGCATTCAATGCCTCAATCATAGAAATCATTGGGTTTTGACTGAAAAAAAATCATCAAGCCACATTTTAAGCTCCACATTATTGTTGAATAAAACACCCCTCAAATATAAGGAGAATATGGTGGGTGTAGTAGAAACTCCCAACTGAGCCCTTTAACTGCCATGTTGAATAATCACACTGTATCACTGATCAGGTCTTTTCAGCTGAATTGCTTCTTTGAGCCTGTTTATTTGTTCAACATACAAGCTTAGCATTGACTGTTATTTTGAAGCATTCATCTCTATATACAGCACAAATGTCTCAAGCAGCTTAATTAAAAGCAGAGAGATGTTGAACATGTTTATTCTTGTCTACTTGGAATTCCATGTAAGCGAGGTGTGGGCGGGGGGTTAATCTGAAATAAAATTTTAATAACATTAAACAGTTTCACAGGATGACCAAATTTATTAAGCAAAAAAATGATATGAAATATTATTCAAAACCATTCACAGAACAACAGAAAAAAATGAACAGATATATCTCTAGAAGTGGTTTTATTATTTTATTTTTAACTTGAGAAATCAGACTGATTAGCTCTGCTTAAGGTTTAGGTCCACTAGGTCCTGCAAAGGTTTCATGTGGGATCTGGTACCAGAATGTTAAAAGGAAAGTATGGAGATTACCCAGACTTCGTCTGCCAAGATGCCATTAGGTATTCCTTCTTTTAAGGACTGTAAAATAAGGAATACAAGCTCTCTTTTTCTTTTCCCTCTTCAAGATATAGCAGTGTCTATACACAAGCCTTCATCCCTACTGGGGAAGACCTCTTTCCCTACTGACACACACACAGAGTTTCAAAAAATGTAATTTTTATGAAAAGTTGTTTGTTGTTTATATGTGGAATTTTTTTTTTTTTTTTAAACAAATCAGCTGGTGATATGCCTTTTATGTATATGCAAGTACAAAATTATTTTTGACAAATATTAGATAAAAGTGATTGAATTGCAAATTGTATCTCCTCTTTGTTATTTTACTTCCTCGATAATGAAATTAATTTCCAATGTTGTTTATTCTTTCAAAGTAAAGTGTTATTAAAGGTTATCTCATTGTCCTTTTAGATCTTATATATTTATAGTTAAAATGATTTCTATTTTTTAAAATTGTTAGTAAAAAAAAAAACAGTTTCAAAAATTCTTTTGTGTTCAGCATTAAAAATTTTCTAATGCAATTTTTTTTTTTTGTTGTTACTTTCAGCTCCATGGCTTTGAAACAAGTATCATTAACTCTGTTCAACTGTCAAATCACACAGGTTTGAATTCTCTTGATAATTCTCATACAATTTTCAGCATACACATATATTAGAGAGAACTGAGAAATTCCTAGCCTGAGCCACTTTTGAAAATATCAGATGTCAGTTATTCTAGAAAGACTTTTTGGTTGACTCAAGACAGGATAAAAATAAATGTTAATATTTGGTCAAATTTTTACATGTAGCTCAGTCTGCTTTTGTGGGTGTAATAAATATATATATATATATATATATATATATATATATATAACTAACTATCTGCATGTATACATTCTCCAATCATATATGCAATTTCTTGAAAGTATATCCTACTAGGAATGATATACATTTTTTATTCATTATTTTTTTCAATATAACTTTAATCGGACATTTTTAAGCAAAAACTTTTTCTTGTATTTTAATCTTTAATCTGTTTACACATATTACTTCCCCTTACACTCCATTCTTTTTCAAGTCCCCTTGTGAAATTTGTTGACAAAAATGAAGTAAAGAAAACTCTTTAAAGTCAAGAATCCACTTGACATTATATTATGAAGTGAACCCCCTGCAACATTCTAAAATTATGATAAATCAAGGTTTTGATTCTGACAAACTCTTAATGAATGCTAAACTGTTTAAAAGCTCACCTGAAAATGGTATTTTTCTGAATTTTTTGTCTTGGATATATTGAAAATCTGTATTTTGTGAGTGATACAATTGGTTGATAATAATAATAATCCTTCTTTTTTTTTTTTTTTTTTTTTTTTTGCTTCTTTTTGAAAGCTTACAAATATGTCAAAGGTCAGGTATTGGGTGCCAGTGAAATTGAAGAATTGTGTGATGGACTCAAGTTAAACCATATAAATAATTTCAATTTTATTTTAACAGGTAAGTGACATGTTTTATACATTGTCTTATGACACAATATTTTAGAATAAATAAATTTCAAATGGCTTGCCCTTCATTTTTCTTAAAAGGGGATTGTTTCTTCCATTCACTGTTTTTAAAATTTATGTCTAACATAATTTGCTGCTAAAAATTGTTTTTGAACCGTTTCCTAAGCCTTGTATGAGAATAAATGTAACATCAAGTTTTGATGGATTACTCTGATTCAGATAATTTAGAAGAGCTGTTAGTCAATATTTTTGTTGTATTTGTACTGTCATTAGCCATTTTTGGCAAGCCAAAGATTATTACATTTTGTTATTAGCTATTGAAAATGCTAAAATTTTACAACTTACAGATTTTGTCCATGTGTTTTCATGCTTTAGAAATGTATTTTGTGTCACTAATTTCATACATAAAATACTTGATTATAAATTGGTATTTTAAAAACTAAAGTTTTTCTTTGTCATGTTATCAACAAAAAGTTCTTTGCAGCACTAGTTAATTCAAACAATTTAAAATGAAAATTTTCTTTTAAATGAAAGTGAAGAAACCTGAAGACTTACTTACAGATAAGAGCATTTTTCCACTTATTATTTAGGTTACATGGGATCAAAATCATTTATTGAGAAAGTAGCTGAAGCTATTGGAGAGATGAAAAAAGAATATCCAGATACTGAATATTGTAAGTATTCCTCATCAATGGGCAAAACATTTTTCTTTTCTTTATGTATTTACTTTTCTCAAATATTCTTAGTTTCCATTGCATTTTAGCATCAGCAATTTCAACACTGAAAGAAGGCTGTCAAATTTTATTACTTGAATCAATGTTTTCTCAATAAAATTGGTATTAACCAAACTGATGTAATTGTTGTGGTGTAAAGAGTACACCCCCAGTGACTCTATGAATTCGTCCAATACTATAAAGAATCCCATGGTATGAGGTCATTAGTCATATTGGAGTTAGTCTTCAAATCAACTATACAAGCTTTATGGCAAGAATTGAAACATTATGTATAGAGAATTATGTTATACTAAGTGTGAGTTTTTGTTATAACAATAACCTACAATAGAAAGTTGTAATAGTTGGTGATGTGGGACCCAAACACTAGTGCAGGATAAAAATTGCAACATAACTGAAGTTATAATAGTTGGTGACTAGGAACTTCAACTCAATTGTGGTATAACAAGCACCACATTATAACTGGAGTTATATTAGTGGATGATCAGATTTTTTTAAACTTATACATGTGCAACAGAGCTGACCATCATACAAACACAAATGTTCATGTTGAAGTATCTGAAACATTACAATGGATTAGTGGTCACATTGAAATGTCATCATAGTAACAACAAGAGATTCAAAACTCAGGCAATTTATAAACATTTTGTTGAGGATTCAGAAAGCCATTCAGAGTAAACAAGTACAGCATATATTTGTTGTTTTGGGTGATAACAGAAATTTTAACCACTTTGGTTTAAAAAAAAATTTTTTTGTCCAGTTTGTAGAAAAAATATTCTTGTAGATATGGAGAAAATTGACTTCCATAGTGGAAATTCAACAACAGCAGAATCAGAAGTTGTTGGAACTACAAAAACAGCAACAGGAATTGTTGGATGTAGTTCAGAAGAAGCTTGAAAATTTTTTCAACATGTCTTATGCCAAAACACTGTATCACAATTTGTATACAATCCTCATGAGAGACTGACTTTTGCTGCATATTTTTGCAAACAAAGAAATATTTTGTCAGGAATGCACTGACTAGGAAGACAGTAAAAAAAAAAAACAGTTTGTTGTTAAGAAAAATAGTGCCAATAGAGTATGAAAAGTACTGCAATTATATTTTACTGAGAAAACCAGATGAAATAGGGTTTGAAGACACAGTACACATTCTGACAAAAATTTTTAGTGACAAGTGCTGTTTCATGCTTGTTGGAGATGCATGAATTTAACTAAAAAAAGGATAAAGATTTTGTCATGTATGTGGGTACCCTCAACAGAGAATATGAACAATTTAAACTAAAGGAAATGACTCTGGATATGTTCAAGGGATTCATTTTTGTGCCAGTCTAACAGCAGGGAAAAGTTGAAGTACAAACGAAAATTTTAGCAAAGATTGAACATAATACTACAGAAAATAGTAGACAATTGCCAAACAAGACGTCTGAAATATGATAAAAAACTTCAGAATAAAGAATGTGCATTGGTAAAAGCTAAGGAAAAACAAACAAAAAGAAATATAAAACCTTGTTTCATATGTGGAAAATTACATCTTTGGAGAGACTGTCCATGGTAAAATGCAAAATGCTATAATTAGTAAAAAGGAGCATATCAAACCACACTGCAGAATTGAACCAAGAAAAAATTTTCACATGAAGAAATTGATACACAATATTGTGACAGGAAAAATAGGCACACAAAACAAAAGAAAATTTGTTAATGTGTAAATCAATAATGTGGGAGTAAAAATGTTACTAGCTACTGGTAGTGACATTTGATTTAGTAAATGAAGCCACATGGAAAAAAATTGGCAAACCTTTGTTAAAAAGGACTTACAAAGTTGCAACTTCAGTTTCTGGCTAGAAATTATTTTGTGGGGGAGAATTATCATGTGATGTTTAATTTCAAAATAAGCAGGTAAAAACAAAAGCTTATGTTCTAAGCAATGCAGCGAATCTATTTGGTATGGACTGGATGGAACTATTTGAACTGTGTGATTTGCCGATAAACACTTGTTGTAAAAATGTAAGTGGACAAGAGACTAATTTTAAAAAATCGGAGCGAAAATCTTAAGGAAGAATTAAAAAAATGTTTTATTGATGTTCTGTCTAATGAACTGGGTCAGTGTTCAAAATTCAATGCAAATTTTCAAGTAAAAACAAGTTTCAACACCAGTATTTAAACCAAAACAGAGTGTACCATTCACAGTATTAGAACAAATAAATGAAGAGTTGGACAGACTAGAAATAATTGGTGTATTGCAGAAAATAAACAACTTGAAATTGGCTGCACCAGTCATATACATAAAAAAAAAAGAAATGACAAAATTCTTGTTTGTATTCTTGACTGGATTAATAGTTGTCTCAAAACACAATCACTAAGTCCAGTAGAAATTCTTTTCAAGGTTGAACAGATGAAATATATTTTCAAAGCAAGATCTCTTTAAAGCATATTTACAAATTCAGATTGAAAATCAATGTTCAGAATTAATGACCATAAATACGCACTGAGGTTTATGTAAGCTTAATAGACTTCCTTTTGGAATAAAAGTGGCATCAACTATTTTCCAACAAGCCATGTATTCTATGCTGACAGATTGTGATTTCACAGTGGCATATCTGGACAATATTTTGATCAAAGAACATGTTGGGCATGTTAAAACAATTAAACAAAAACTAAGAAAATACAGATTCAAGCTTAGTGAAGGGAAATGTGGATTGTTTTACCAGAAATAAAATACCTGGGTCAAATTATTGATAAAAATGGTAGGAAACAAACCAGATCTGTTGAAGGCAAATGCAATTAGAAATATGCCTACACCAACAAACGTAACTATGTTACAAGCTTTTTTAGGACTGGCTAATTATTATCAAATTATGTATATAATCTACATAGTATGTCTATATTTCTGAGATGAGGTATTATGTACATTATTTACATTATTCGGACTATTGTCCTCATCTTTGTCGCCATATTTATCACAACGTTTTAAACATGGCACGTGGAACTAGAACAGTCTACCCCAGTGAGCGAAATAAAGGGTTCAGTTCGAAATTCCAACCACCTGAAGAAGGCCAGAGCGTACAATGGCTGAAACGTTGTGATAAATATGGCGACAAAGATGAGGACAATAGTCCGAATAATGTAAATAATATAATCTACATAATTTGACAGGTGCACTTGACAATCTACTGAAAAAAAGAAATAAAGAGGAATTGGGATCATTTGACGAGATAGTCTCTTATGTCTGATTTATCATTAACATACTATGATCCAAAAGCAAAAATTGTAGTAGCGTCAGATGCTATTGATTATGGTGTTGGAGCAGAGATTTTGCACAAATACGATGGTGGTAAAATGAAAGCTTTCACTCATGCTTAACACTTGTTTCTATCAGCAGAAAAATTACATTCAAATAGAAAAAGAAGCTCAAGAAATAATATCCACTATGAAAAAATTCCATAAATTTATTTGACAGAAATTTCACATTGCAAACAGACCATAAACCATTATTGGCAAAATTTGGTTCAAAGACAGGTATACCTACCCATAAAACTAACAGATTACAGCGCTGGAGAACTGTCGTGTTTAATTATAATTTTATGATGGAGTACCAACCGTATAAAAAATTAGGACATGCAGATGGATCAAAAATGCAGAACCATTGGAGGATACAGTTATAGCAGTGCTTAAAAGCAAGATAGAAATTAAAAGCATTCTGTGCAACATAGTATGGGAATTACCAGTTACACTGAAGGAAATTAAACAAAAAGCAGAAAAGGATATCTTTATTGCTAAAATAAAAAAGCAATTAAAAGAAACTGAAAAAAACAGAATCAAGAATTTAATGTGTGTTTGATATGCAATGGTGCTGTAATGTACAACGTATTGTAATACTGAGTATGTTACAGAAATGTATATTAAAAGGATTTTCATTCTAGACATCCTAGCATTTCAAGAATTAAAATTTCTCATGAGAAGTTTTGTATATTGAACCGGATTGGATGAAGATATCAAGGAAGAAGAAAAAACCCGTAAAAGCATGTATCACAAGGATAGAAGCTTGGCCAAAGACAGACACTCTGTAGTCAAGATTGCATATAGATTTTGCAGGTTCTATGGATGGAGCATATTATCTAGTGGTAGTTGATAGTTTTATGAAATGGCTGGAAATTTACAAGTGCAAAAATCATACATCCTCAGTTTTCTTGCATGAACTGTTTGAAAGATATGGCATACCAGATACCATAGTATGGGATAATGGAACACAATTCACTGGAAACAAATTTCAAGACTTTTGCAAGTTGTTCTCTATAGAAGATATTACAACCCCCACCTTATCACCCAAGGACAAGTGGAACAGTTTGTGAGAATGTTCAAAAGAGCATTGAAAAAATGTAAGTCTGGACAAATTAAATGAAGAGTTACTTTGAAATTTTTTGAGAATGTGCTAGTTAATAACTTAACCCCAACACACCATCAGGCATGTCACTGGTGAAATTATTATTTGCTAGAAGGGTAAGATGGGTATTCAACAAGTTATTGCCAAATCAAAAATCACAAATTGTGAATAAAAATGATGCCAATGCTTTCAAGGTCAACAATAATGTTTTATTTAGAACATACAAGAATGAAAAGGAAACATGGAAGACAATATAATAGCAGCTAGAATCGGAAAATTGTTCTACATGGTGAAAGGAAAAAAATTTCAATGTAAAAGGCACCAAAATCACCTGAAGAAAAAATGAAAGACTTGAAGAATTGGTTAAAATGCTGTATGACATTTTTTTCATGTGCCAGTACCAAAACAAAACATGGAACTAACAAGGACAATTTCAAGAAAAAGAAAATGTACAGAACAAGAAGTGGATCCAAGACAGAAACGCAACAATGCAAAGTACATTGAACTCTCCAGAAAGAGTAGGGGGAGACACTAATATGAAAAAAAGAAAAAATATATTTAT